GAGCGGTCTTGGGACGTGGAATCTCACCCACTAGCAGGATGGCTAGGTAAAACGGACATGGCCATCGTCCTGGAGTTTTGCAAGCGTTTTTATACATCAAGTAGGGAGGGGAAAGATGTAAGCCAGTCTGAAAGGATTTACATTAGCTGTAGACAAAGGGGATGGGAGAAGGCGAGGTGGGGGGCTAGTTGCAAGGAAAAAGTGTCCCCTCCTGTGATTGGCTGTGGGCAGCAGACGGAAAAGTTCATGTGCAAATAATCCGAGTGTCCTGGGGTTCTGAGGGGACTGGCTAGTTAGTCGCCTGGAAGTAGCCACCTGGAGAGTCTTTTGTCAGAGCCGGTCCACAGTTATCAACAGGCTAACTGTTCTGTCTCTTTCTCTCACTCTCCTGCTCGCTGTAATTTTAAGTTAGAACATCTGATTTTTTTTTTTTTTTTTGTCATATGGTAGAAGATGCAGGCCTGGGTGGCCTTAGATGGTAGGGGAAGGTCTCTAAGGAGGTAGTCACTAGCAGTGGCTGTTGGTCACTCGAAATATGACCGGTCCAAGTTGAGATGTGTGTGAAACAGTGGATTTTGAAGATTTAGAATGAAAAGAATGCAAAATATCTCATTATTAACTTCATGTTAATCATGTTAAATTGCTAATATTTAAATAAAATGTTAATTATTTTATTTAATAAAATAAAATACAGTTGCAGCTGCTTCTTTTACTTCTCTAATGTAGCTATAAGAAAATTGTGAGTTACACTTGTGGCTCACTTTATATTTCTGTTGGACGGCACAGGTCTAGACTGTACATTTATTAAGCAGCTAGTCTTTTTACTCAATATTATGCTCATTTCATGAACATTTATTGAGCCAACTGCTAAGCAGCGACAGTACAAAGATGAAAAAGACACACTCCCGGAACTCGGCCAGCCTCGTTGCTATCTTCCAGGGTGGTGGTTTGAGGATGGAGAGAGTTAATGTCATGCGAAGAAGCGAGAGGTAGGCAATTGGCCAGATGCTGGAAGACCTCTGCTGTGCTAAGAAGTTTGGACTTATGTACTGAAGACTTTGGGAAGCCACTTAAGGGATTTCAGAGAGGGAATGACATGATCCCCTGCCTAGAATGCTTTTCTCCTGATCCAGAGGTCTCCTTTCTGTCTTTCGACTCTGAGCTTAAACGTCCTCTCTTCGGCAAGGCCTTTCCTGACCTCCCAATCTGAAGTAGCTCCCCAGTCTCTGCATGGAACTTTATCACTAATAATGTTTCTTCTTATTTATTTATACATTGGTAGAATTCAAGGGCAGGAAACCAGGAATCTCGTTTGTCTCGTTCATCACTGTATCCTCAAACTTAAAACAGTACCTGGCAGTACTGTAGGATAGGCGTTTTAGAAAGACCCCTGATGGCAGTAAGAATGGATTTCTTAAAAAGCAAAATAAGGACTCATGGAAGAGAAACAGGATTTGAGGGATTGTAACCTCGATTTTTATTGTATTGTTTGCAATGGAAAATCCAAAATAAGATGCTCAGTAGACAGTTATATTATACGTACAAGTCAAGAGCTTAAGAAAGATGGAGGGGAATACAGATTTGAGTGACATCGAAGTAGTAGGTAATTGAAACTGTGAGAGTTGATAAGATCACTCAGCAAAAATGAAAAGCAGAGGTGGGAGGATAGAACCTTGGGGAATAGCAACATTAAACATTTCTGAAAACTTGAGAACTTGCTATGACAAAGTGAATCAAAAAATAGAACAAAAAACTAATTGGAAAAACTCAAAACATCTGCTTGTGCTTAGTTTGGTGGCATTTTCATGTATCTAAATGTGGGTGCTTTGACAGCAATGGGATTGGCTACACAGTTTTATTTACACTGAGATCCAAATCGAATGGCAATTTTGCCTTCGCTTTAATCATATCTGTGCTGCCATGCAGGGATTTTCCTCCTTTCTCTCTCCATCCAAAGCCTTGCGATTAAGAAAGAATGAGCAGAGAAGGACTTTTAAAGGAGTAACTGATAGGACAATTCTAATAATCATTTACAGTTTTAACTTTTGTGCCTTAGCCTGGCACTGGTCCCACCCCAGGGACCAGAGAAAGAAAAGTGTTAGCAGATTTCAGCCTCTCCTTCTCTATGTCCCTAGACAAAAGATGTGCCAACCTACTGTGGGCTTCTTCATCCCACCACCCTGCCTTCCCTGGGCAGTGTGCTCAAGACTCCTTGGTCACTGAGTCCTGGAATGATAAAGCTGGAAGGGACAAAACATATCCTCTGTCCTCCACTGAATAAACTGGTGCCTGAGGTTGATTATCTTTTCAGAGATACCTATAAATAAAGCAAATAAAGGCAGCAAAGCAAAATTAATATTGATTTCTTTTTATTAGATAGTCTCAAATTGAGCTTGAAGAAGAACAAGAAATACAACTACCAAAATATAAATAGCTGAGCTTACTTTATTCAACAAAATTTATCCAATGTTACCAGCATATCAAGCATTCAGCTAGGTATCAGGTGTAGCACAATGAACAAGACAGGTTACCTCGGCCTTCAAGGAGCTTACATTCTAACGCAGAAAGCGGACAACATCAAGTTGGATAGATGCTAAAAATGAACACTGCAAGGCACAAAACATTTTAAAAACCGGGAATTTGGGAGGCGAGCATCCAATCTGACCTATAGGACTCCTTATGGAGGTAACAAGCTAATCTCAAGATGCTAGATATTACCTGGTCAGTGGTTCTCACTGCGGCATTTTGGAAATTGGTTGGTTGTTGGTTTCATAATAATTGGAGACTATGACTGGCACCGAGTGGATGCAGCCAAGGCTAACAGAGGTCCTGCAGTGTACGGGTTAGCCCCATACAACGAAGAATTATTCTGTACCTATACGACTTTCTAATGTCCTGCTGGACATCTATGTAGGACCTATAGCTTGACTGAGAGAATATGTTTTTTTTCCCTCTTAGACAACCTGTAATTTGTCTTGTCCTATTGTCCTTATGTAAAGTAAGGTAATTTCGCTCTTCCCCTTACCATATACAGATAAGGTATATGGTCTGTTATGACTTACCCTAACAGTGGTCTTCATTCCTATCTTTCATTTCCCTGTACTTCTTTTACAGGAAGTAGCCTCTGTCGACTCTTAAATCCACACCTATCCACTATAAGTAGGAGTAAATATTTATGTCATGATGTCGTATAGCGTATTCATGCCTGAGCATTTACATATTGAAATTCAGTTTATTTTTACTACAAATTTCTTTCCTTCTGTTTCTTCATTACAATATAGGGCAGTAGGATGATTTTTTAAGAAATGCATGTGTGTAAGTAGACTGTAATATCTATGAATCATCTCAGGACAGCAAAGAGGATGTCACAAAACATCTGCTCTGAAAAAGATGACTAGAGCTAATTGGGTTTGTGGCTGTCACCATGATTGGGGGGGCGGGGAGGGTGCTACTGGCATTTAGTATGTGAGAGCCAAGTATGCTGAACGTCTGGCAATACTTTGGACAGTTCCTCACAGCAAGGCATTATTCTGCACCCTATACGAATTTTGAATGTCTCACTAGACATTCGTGTATGACCTACAGCTCGTCTGCAAAATATATTTCCTCATTTTCTCCATATCGACAATCTGTAGATTTTCTTGCATAGTATCTTTATTTCAGTTAAGGCTATTTCGTCCTTATAGAAATAAGTATTATATGCAAATAAGTTACTGTATCACTAGTTTTTATTCTAATGTCCACTCATATCCCTGCTGTTTCATTTCCTCATACTTCTCTGTACAAAGCAGCTTCTGATGTCCTACCTTCTTTTAAGTTCAAATTCACTCATTGTAAGTAGGTAAATACAGCTGCCTACTTAATTAGGTCTTTTAGTATAGTCGTGTCCAAGTTATAGAACTTTTATTTCCCTCTTATGTTAATATTAATTTTATCTAATTTTTAATTTTTTTCTAAAATTGTGTGTAGCTAGAGTATATAACCACTGAATGGCAGCTTGAAGATCATAAAGCGGATGTTATAAAGTATTTGTGGTTAAAAAAAAAAAAAAAAAAAGGCAGGAGTGCTAGTTGAGAACCACTGAGCTAAGGGTACGAAAGGACTGAAAGAAAGCCAGAGTGGTTTGTGTGGAAGAAAACAAATAATAGCAGGCAGGCAGGGAAGGGAGTGGTCACGTGGGGCTACGATGATGATTTTGAACTTCATTCTAAAGCATGATGATATTTGCGTTTTGAAAGATGATGACTAAATACAAAATTTAAAAATGTGACCATCCTGTCTGCTAAGTAAAGAACAACTTAGAAGGGGAAACAGAGATAGTTAAAGAGGAAAAACTAGATCTGGGAACAGCTTGGATGCACACGGGGAGGGAGAGGAAGGAGTCAAGGATGGCTTCTGGAATGCTGCTTGGACAGATGTGTGGACGGAGATTCCACATCCTTATATAAAGAATACTGGGAAGGAACTGGCTCGCTTAGGGGATGCAGATCGAGAATTCCGTTTTGGAAATGCTGAAGTAGAAATGCCTGTGAAATATCCACTTAGAGATATCTAATAGGCAGTCGGAAAGAGTTGGATAAATTGCGTCTCTGCTACGTGAGGGTCAAGATCGGGAAAGGAAAACTCCAAAACGGAAGCTATCGAGAAAAATAAGTGAATGAGAGTAACTATTTATGGCAAGCCTCCCAGAAAATAACCCTACGCTAAAAAAGCTCTGTATATTTATTTGTTACTGGTGGAGCCCTTTAAACCAAGGAGTTGTAGCAAGCTTTTGCACTGATTGAAAATATAAAACGTAAAATCTCTAATGATAATTAATTTTTGTAACAGATCTGCTAGAAGGAACTATAACAGGAGATTTTGGCAATTGGTATGGAATGTTGAAAAAGGAAAATTGAAAAGAAAACCGTGATTCAGAATAAGGAAGGAACTCTTGGTCCAGACATCTCAACTGCTTTAAAAATTGATTGTACTACAATTCCATACAATTTATTATATTTAGAAAAAGAGGCCCCTTGCAGGTGCAAGGCCTGTTTGAGGCCCTGTTCTCTTTGTTCTGATTCTGTGCTCACCAGGAAACAAACCTTGCCTCCTTAGGGGGCCCGTCCTCCCATAGGATGGCCCTGTTCCTCATTCCTAGGTGAGCCTCATCGGTCACAGCCAACAACTACAGTAGCACTCAGATTTATCGATCATGCTTGTGTGACTCTGTTTATTCTAACTCGGTACTCCCAAAATAGAGGTATTTCATAAAGGTCTAACCTGAAAAAAGTCTGCTCTGGAATCATATTGATTAGAATATAAAAGTCTACCTTACCATAATTACTTAAATTGGCCAAATGGGCCATTAACTCCAGCTGGTTGCTTCTCTCTGAGCCACACCTGTCAGCTCTTTAAATTGAATTCCAGAGTCAACCTGGATAGAGTCCCCTAAATAAACGTAGAAATAATGAAATGTGTGCCTCAAATCAGTGTCACCACAAAGGCACAGTCCTGCAGTTATGTCTGTAATAGCATTTAAATTACCTTTAATATTCCACCCCCTACCACATATTCCAAAACACCCTCCGCCAACTTTTCACAATCTTCTATCCAAGGCTCTACTGTCTCATATCCTTATTTCAACAGGCATTTTCAGATTTCTCTCCGATTTCCCAAATCAATTTGTTTTTCAATTTAACAAAAACAAAACCATGCCATACAGTAAACTAAAAGAGTAGTTGGGAGAAAAAGGTTGCTGCAATCACAGAAGTTTTAGAAATCAGTCTTTACATTAAGACAATGGTTCTCAAACTTTATGACACGTTTGAATCTTCACACCTGACTCTCACCCAGAAACAGTGTGATCTAGTTGGAATGGGGTGCATTCTGGACATCGGGATTTTTTTAAGTTTCTAGATGATCCAAACGCGCAGCAAAGTTTGGGAACCATCAGTCTAAGGCATCTGATAGCCAGGCAAGAAAATACAAACTAGCATAATATCCGGGGCGATCTGGTTCGATGGGTGCACAAAACGGTTATTCATCCTCTGTGATGCTATGTTCATCCTTTCTAACTGATCACGCAGGCTTTGTCTGTTTCGGAATATTCAATCACGTATTCTGGGTAAATCTGATCTTTCTGAAAGATGACAAAAACCGAGGGATTAAACCTTGTATCCACGCAGCTGTCATACAATAGAGGAGGGCTCGTGTAACTCATTTTCCCTTCAATAAAATCTCCAACCAGGACTCGGGCTACGAACATAACGATGTTTTTGGGATCATGCTGGCAATTTTTGTGAAAGTAGATGGCATCTTTTGAGAAGTAATTTCCTATAAATAATCAGAAAAAAAAAAAAAGGTTAACAATTATAAAAGAAGGTATGCAGTTTGTAAGATTGTTTACAAATATTCAGAGGATAGGCATTGACTAAGCGTATGTCAACAATACCTTACTGATACTTATAAACTTTCCCTTGTACTTAAGAAAATGTTTGTTATACAAGTCAACTTGAGTACAGCGTATGACCCTAGTGAAATAACAAACATCTGCTGCTGTGCAGAGCTCACGGCGATGGTGAGAGCCACTGGGACCAATGGCCAAAGTGGCAATATCACAGTGGCCCAGTCCATGCAGTTCACGCAAGATGAGTTGAATTGTGACTGATGAACCAAAAATATTCCAGCAGAGGTCATCAGATATTGTAAGGGACAAAGGTCATCTACTGTTGATGGGAAGGTCCTGGAAAATGGGAAAGGGAGAGGTGTAGCCTGAGCAAGCAATTGGCCCTGGGAAAGCTTGTCAAAGCAGTTGATTCAGCCTTTTCAACTCTAGAATAACCTCTGATAATCACCGATGTTTCCACACTCAGCAGATCAACGATTTCCTGGCAAATTAAAATGTCCTATTTTTATCATTGCCAGCTTTTTCCCTGCCCTTTTAAAGGAAATGAGTATACATTGCAAATTCTGATTTTCTATGCAAAAATTAACATAAAAGATGAATGTTGTATTTATTGTAACAAAGGATTAATACTTTTTCATTTATTTTGTTTGTTCAACTACACTTAGAATAAAAAATGAAAGTCCACCTGTACTCACCTACCATTCCCAGTCCTACTTGCCCACCCAAACGCAGATAACAGCTTGGTGAGAATTCTCTCACACCTGTTTCTTTGCATTTACATACATATTGCACATATACTCTGAAATGGTTTTGTTTTCATTTAATTATTCATAAATAGGTCATACTATACGAACTGTTCTACAATTTTTTTTCCACTTTAGTCCTAGAAATCTTGCTATGTCAGTTCATCTAACCCCCATCATTCTTTTTAATGGCTGTCTAGGATTCCATCAAATGGATGTATCATAATTTAACTATTCCTGTATCGATGAAAACCATAAGTTGATTTCACTTTTGCTCTTACCAAAAACTTCTAAAACATCCTAGTAAATTATGTTTGAGAACCCATATAAGTAGTTCTGTAGAACAGACTGCAAAACTATAATGGCTGAATCAAGGGACAATTTTGACAGATATTGAAAATTGCCCTCCAAAGGCGGTATAAAAATTTCAACACCGACAACGAAGAAAGTCCTGTTTCTCCACATCCCTACCAACACTGGATATTATCTATCCTTTTAATTGTTGTCAATATACTGGTCAAAAAAAAAATCTGATTTTAAAATATATTTCCCCGAATGCTAATGACATTGAGCATCTTTTCATATGCTTATTGGCACATTTCATATGCTTTTTCTCTGAACTGCTTTTTCATCTTTTTTGTTCCTATTGTATCGTATGTCTTTCTCTTACTGATGTGTAACCAAAACAAGCCTGGAAAATGACTGTGACACAAACAAAAATCATCAACCCACCACATTTCTATTTGGCCAC